GTACAAACAGTACTTCTGCAAAACAGAAAAAAGCAGAAGTGGGGTTTTTCTGGAATGTCCCAGAGGCCCTGTGGTAAAAAAAAAACAAGGTGTTTTTTAACTCACCACAAAAAGTCCCTGACAGTCCTATTGCCAGAATCAGCACGATTACTTCATTCTTGGAAATACAAAAAAGTCCATGATAGAAAGCCCCAGCCTTACCATAAGGGGGTTGAGCGGGCCCAAAAACAGTATAAAAGAGGAGCAGTTTCAGCAGTAACTCGTCTTCTAGCCCCGACTGGAGAAGAGCAGCAAGAAGACGAGGACAGCCCAAGAAGAGGAGCAAACAGATCCAAGAGACATCTCATCTGGGACACGCTGACACACTTCTCTCAAGCGATCTACGGACCGAAGACCAGATTAACACAGCCCAGCTCTGAGAAGTCTTTTTTAGGCAACAATCTGATGCTTTTCATGGAGGTAATGCCAACACTGCTCCAACCTGTCCTGCCGTCCAAAATTAACTGAAAATGCCACACAACCTAGTCATAAAGTTAGGTCAGCGCCTTAGAGCCTTTTATTTTCATCACCATCAATTATTATTCAATATTTTTAAACTGTATCAAATGTGGCTTTTCTTGCAAATTCCTGTTAAACTGCTTACAGAATCATAAAGACAATTCCATGACGACATTGGTTTTTAAAGTTTTTCTCTGAATACATGAGAGTGTTACTTCAAAGCAACAAGGTGTTAACATATTAATGAGTGTGGTTACTTTGAGGCCAAGAGGTAGTGATATGAGGTCATRAATTAATAAAATCATTTTTAATAGTTATTAGCCTGGGGTGATAGGATAACTCCCTTTAACAGTTCCCTTGAGACTTGCTGTCCAGGTCACTAAACATCTCGGTCACAGTAAGAAGTGCACATCCTAAGAGGGAGCGGCTACCAGGAACAGTGGTGACTGTCAGCTGGAGGAGTCCTGAGCTAGTACGCTGATCCAGAGGCCGGAGTTCACGAAGGGAACGACCACTGGAAGGAAAGCAGCTAGAGACCGAGCTAAAGGCTCCCGCCCCTGTCTCCCGGAGGAGACAGGCTGGACACGGCCACACAGGCCACCCCAGGTGGCTGTATGTCCGGTCCATCGCACCCAAACCAAGAGGGAGACATCGTCTCCTCTCCAAGACCCATCSGTGTCCTTGTGGTTAAACTGGGGGAGGAGCCACACAGGACAACATGGCGCCCAACGTGGGGCTCGACGTAAACTAGGACCGCCCCCGGAGTGAAGGGTTGGACCACAGGAGTGGCCCAGCTTGTCTACAAGAGCAGAAACAGAGTTGACTGCTCAGTGTGTTAAAAGAGAGCCAACAGCACACAACCTTCACACCACCCACTCGAGGAATGGGAGAAGGAGAGGACCCTGCTGCAGAGGCTGCTGAAATGAACAAAGCAACTGCAGGGTAGGTAGCTACAACTGTTGAGACCTTTTCCCGGTCCTGTGACATGTGCAGGAGGCTTTGAGGATCGACAAGTCCAATCAAGACAAAAAAGTACAATGGCTGCAGCCGTGCCAGATAAGAAGAAAGCGGGGATATCACAAGAAATGGCCCCCGACGCAGAGATCAGACAAGCCCCGCCATGCATAGTTTTGCTCTATTGCAGGGGAACCAAGGAATGGCATCCCACTGCTAYGGCGCTCTTCCATTCACATTTCACAAAAACAGACCCAGTGCAAGCCCTGGCTGAACTGGAAGACCACATGACCAAGAACACATTCTTCTATAGGCCCAGCCTGGTGGATGGGGCCATGCTAGCCGTGCTGCTGCATCCAACAGAGACTAAAAAGAAGGCCCAAAAGGAAGAATGGGTCAGATGGTGGCTGACAACAGTAGGAGGATGGAAAACCGACGTGGTGAAGTTGGTAAGCCCATTGGCAGAGTATGACAACCTGGTAAGATTAGTTGCCAGGGAACAGTTCATCAACTGCGTGGTGGCCGATCCAGCATCCAAAGTTGAAAAGAAGTATAAGTTTCTGGAGCAACCACTGCTTGATCTCAGAACATGGAAAAACATGATGAAGTATAAGGACAGAAATGGATATGAAGATGAGAACAGTATGGTCGGAGATCCCGACAATACCACTGACCATGAGGAATCAGGTGCAGAAACTGATGATGAGTATAAGGAAGCAAGACAAAATGAAGGTACTTCCAGTGAGGAAGAAGGTGATGATGATCGATCCCACATTCATAAAGAAATAGGGGAACTGACTCAGGCTTTGAATGACATAAAAACTTATTTGGGTCAAACCCCCAACTCAGAGCCAAAAAGAGTCGGAAACCAGAACACTGTGAAAGCTTTGACCGAACAGTTTGAAAACACCCCCATCATTGAAGGCGACAAAAAACACTGGAAATGTGACCGCAAACAGCGTCACACAGAACCAGAGACACCGAGACGAGGCCCGCTAGGCCCCCTCTCTGAGGAAACCCTGAAGATTTGAATGCAGAATGGTATAGTCCTGCATCAAACTGTGGGAGACCCATGGGCCATCTCAAGTGATTAGACTGCTGATATTCACCGACCATAACTATAAAAGTTACAATGGGAAGTTCAGAAAAGCCCTGATAAAAAATGCGGGGCAAGAATACCAGAGGGAGGTAAGGGAGTTAAGAGAAACCCACAAAAAAGATCCAGACCGACCCCAAATGACTAGTGGAGCAGGATTGGCCCACTATGGAATCATCCACGTCCTAGTACCTGCATATAAGAAAGGCGATGACATGGAAAACTATGTCCGCCTAATGATGAAAAAATTGGAACGGGGATTGTATCATGCAATACATCAGGGACTGAGGAGAGTCGTCATCAGCACCTGTGATTTGAGGTCTGGAGACCTGCCATGAAACATGGCAGAAAAGGTGGCAGTAAGAGGCTCAGCGCATTTCGCTCAGAACCTCAATGTGCCCACAGACCTGAAAGAAATCATCATGGTTACAGATGAAAAGCTGAAAAGTGAAAGACTGACTAAGGCCATGCCAATGATACCCATAAAAGCTGAGCCCAAACGGGGGGAGGAAAAAAAGACCCCTGCCAAAGAGACCCCCGTCAAAGATATCCCGCCGAAAAAGACTGAGTAGGGTTTCAAAACCTTGGACACAGAAAAAGGAAAAACCAATGGAAAAACCCGTGTGCAACACCCAAAACAAAAGGACATTGAAGAACTCGATTTGGTCAGAGAAGAAACAGGACCTAATTCGACACTTCAACAGGTGGGACCCCAGCTCTGAAAACGAGAGCTCAGAAGAGGATGAACCACCGAACCCTCCTCGGCCTGTTGAGTGTCCACAAACCCCCGTACCCCCTGAAAGCTTAGAAGAAGACAACGCTGAGTCCAGCATGGGGTCTGCTGCAGCACAAGGGCAAGGTACCCCTAAACAACTGAAGGTTGGACAAAGAAAAGGAGAAAAGAAACAGGTGGAACTGGTAGATGTCCTCAGGGTATCAGAAAGAATGGCACGAGAATCCAGGTGGGGACCAATCCAGACCAGTGATGGAAGAAGAACCAATGTGCCTGAAGCAGATCAGAGGGACTTCCCAATACCCCCAGCGTGGGCTGAAAAGATGGATGAACAATTGGAAATAAAGGTAAAATCCAAAGTGGGGGAATGGGCTAACACAATAATGATGCCATCTTATCCCACTCTGGCTTCACACAAAAGATTGACAGCTAACTTCAGGCAAGCATATGTGGCCATTGCCCACGATATGATGCTGAGGAAGATGAAGAGAGCAGCAAACAAGTTCGTGAGGGACGTGGTGTATGAAGAGGAAGATGGGATGCTTTCGGACGAACCAGTGCCGCCAGTAACAGCCGCAGGTGAAAAGGACTAATCAGGAAGGCAGGAGTGGAAATAAATCAAAGATGTGAGCACCAATGCAGATGAGTTCCGTGAGTATAAGAAGATAAAAAACCCTGGTAAGAGAACCAGGTGCAGGCGAAGGAAAAGAAAACTATCTAAAAGACGTCTGGCCCCTCATCGTGAATTCCACTGACTGCGAGGCCGCAAAAC